TTTCCAAGACCTAAACAAAAGAAAATAAATAACTATTTCTTTAAAATAAATCTTACAATCAATTTGAATATTTCCAAGACCTAAACAAAAGAAACTGAAAACTATTTCTTTAAAATAATTCTTATAATCAATTTGAATATTTCCAAGACCTAAATAAAAGAAAATAAATAACTATTTCTTTAAAATAATGCTTACAGTTGACATGAATATTTCGAAGACGTTAACAAGAGAGAATAAATAACTATGTCTTTAGAATAATTTTTAGTCGATAGGAATATTTTGATGACGTAGACAAAAGAAAATACAGTTCTATTTCTTTAGAATAATTTTGATGATTGATGTGAATATTGTGGAAGACCTAAACGAAGGAAAATAAAAATGTATTTCTGTTAAAGAATAGTTCTATGTCATATACATATTTGGAAGACGTAGATGAAAGAAAATAAATGAGTATTTCTTTAAAATAATACTTACCATTCATCTGAATATTGCGGAGAGCTAAAGAAAACAAGCAAAGTATTTGGTTGTTTAAAAAAATGATTTGCGTAGGTTTTTTTATTCCCGGTATGTGAGTGACAGTAACAGGAATATTGGTTACTGTAAAATATTGCTTCCCGTTTGCTTTAATGTACGGAAGAGAGAAGTAAAAGTTAAAAGTACTTTGTTTTGTAAATCATTTCTAGTGTTGGTGGGTATGTTCTAATGATCTGAATGGAATGAAGAAAAGTATTATGTTGAAAATATGTGATAGTTAGTGTGCAGTGGAAGAATCAGATGATATGAGTTGGAAAGAGAAAAGATTCATTTTTTAAAGCAACAGTTTAAGTTGAAGAATGTTCTGAAGAAGGAATTTATTTTGAAAAGTGTGAGGATTCTGATAATATGTGCAGCATATAGTAAAGGGACTTTATAGATATATATTTAAAATAAAAACCAATGAGTGGATAGTAAGACTCGTTAGAACGAAGTCGTGGAAAAATGGCAAATGACGAACAAAAAACGCTATGAGGTGAATGAATGAAAATGAGAGAAGGTAATAAAAACATAGGAGTGTTATGGGTGCTTTTCGAAAAGATAACTCGATGTTAGAAGTGTCGGATTCGCATGAGGATTGAAGTTAATTATACTAATTTCAATACTTTTGTGTTAGTGTTAAAAATAATCTCATGCTTTGATGTTAAGATTGGAAAATTAATTTAATCCATTGGCATTAGTATGGGGTATTTTTTGCCTAATGCAACCACTTATGATTCCCATAAATGAAATAATTGATCCATTTTTGGGAACCATAAGCGCTTGGACTAGGCTAATAGTAATTCAATATTAATGTCGATGCATTAAATTAATTTTTTAATCTTAAGATGAAAGCATGAAATTATGTTTTAATCCTAATACAAAAGGCGCAAAATTAGTAATAATTAATCCAATGCTAATGGGAAGCCGATACCTATAGCTGAGATTAACAAAAGAAGACATGGCACTCCTATTGCATTTCACATAATAAGGAAAGAAACTTAGTCGTCACAAATAAAAAAGCAAACAGCAGAACAGTGTTTTATGAAATGCTATTGTCATTTGAATCTGTAATCATCATCATTTGAGCTTCTTTATTTTGTCGTTTTCGTTCGTCAATGAGAAAATCAGCCAATTTAGGACGAAGTAGTTTTGTATAAAATTGACCATAGTGTAGACTAGATAATCGAAATTTAGTAGCCATTGCTCCTGAAAGAAAAAGACTTGTAGCAGTGTAGAACTTTATCGAAAGGAGTACTATGAAGATATTCAAATCTATCGTTGTCAAGAGGTGGTCTTGTATAACGTTGATGACCAGGAGGTAAAATACGTTCGGCCAGCTCCTTTTTGCTATACAATTTACGTAGTAACAGACGACCATAATCACCGTAATCTTTTGCACGAATACGAAGCAAATCCTCATTTCCATAAATCTAAATTTGAATAAAATTAAAAATAATTAAATACAAATATAATAAATAATCTTACTACAGTAGATTCAAATATTTCATCTTTTTCTCGAAATAAGTCGAGCGAATGATCATCCTATAAGACGAGAAAGAAATTTACTGGAAAGAAAAATCCTTACTTACGAAGTTACTTTGTGCCAGTCGCTCAATCTTTTTATCAAAATGAATAAACCGACGTTCTATTGTTCTTGTCATCACGTTGAAAAGTCCATCTATTTGACTATATATTGCTTGAGCTGCATCAAGAACATACATTGAATAGTTTCAAAACGATGATCAACTTACGATTAACTAGTAACTGATGACTAGTATTTGTCGTTTCGACTGCAGCACTTGACCAAACTAAAAGGAGACAAAATATAACGACACACAAAATGAGTTCTAGATATTACTCGCTCCATTTTCAGAATCATCATCATCATGAACTAAAATCCGTTGACGCTTGATTGATCCTAAAATGCAAAGACAAATCTCTAAAATGACTTTTAGATAGAAATAATTATACTGTTTTTGTCATGCGATTGAGACTTCAGATGTGTTCGCTGACGTTTATTCACACCTGCAATCAAAGATTACAAGTTGAATCTAATTATATGCAAATATACCAATGTCAGTTGATGGATCATTGATGTCCTTAAGTGTACGTCGTGTCGGTGTAGGTTGTTGCTTTAAGACTTGCGAATGAATATAACTATCGGCTATTGAGACACGTAATTTTTTTGACTTGAGGTAATATTATTACTTACTGTCTTTTTCATCATTTTCATCAAATTGTTGCTCGTTACCACTGTCATCACTTTCATCAGCATCAAAATTGTCAATATCTTTATTGATGATATTTGATACTGCAAGAAAATACTCTTAGCTTTGTTATAATTCTCAAAAGAAGAACTGTACTCACCTTGTTGGAGCTCGGCAAGTGTTGAGTGGCGCATTGCCTGACACAATGATAATGAACCTGAATAGAGAAAATCAAAGTCGCATATTTTAACGGGAAAACTTTATACTGACCTTGAGCTTCAATAGTTGCAATTTTCCTCTTGCGGTCTATCATAACTATTGCTTTATCATCGATAAATTTTTTAATGTTGTTTTCTGGAAGAATGAGACGTTCTTCATTATCACTGAAGAATAGCAGATAGTATTGAGGTGAGGAAATAGCGGTTGAATTTCCGTAGCCTGTTGATTCACGAGCTGTTTCTTGTTGACGAAGTTGTTGTCGACGAGCAAGAACTCGACTTGCGACATTCGATGTATTTGACATTAGGATAATAATCTACAAGTTAAGAAAAAGATAAGAAGCTAGTATCATAAAAACCAAAAAAATGTTTAAGAATAAAATACGAGAAAAAAATTAAGTGGTCAACTAAGTATGTTCTTCATAACCAGATACAGGTGTGACGATAAAATATCCATCAGCTTCAAACACAATACAGTGTTTAGAAATCAAAGAAATAGGTATACAAATACAATTAGAAGAGCTATTTGCGATGCGAATAAAAAATAGATCAACAGCTTCTTTCAGTAAATTATAATATTGAGAGAATTTCAATTGTTCACTGAACGCAGTAAGTTTACGATGATGTTTAATAACAGCGAAGTGTTGATTTTTACATGTAAAGAATAAAATAATTCTGCCATATTGTATGTCCATGTTTTTATTGTGATATTGCACAAAATATGAAACAGATCTCTGTCGTCGTTCGTACAGCAGGGAATGATATACTTGAGAGTGGATATGACAACGACGGGAGACAATTCCACATTGTTTAATATTTTCGCAACTGCACAAAAGACTATGCTGCTGTTTAATAAGAACGTTCATTGAACAATCATATGATTGATGATAATCAAAAGGCTCATCTAATTGCTTTATTATTTCGATAGAAATGTTGTTGTTGTGCAAAACAAAGTCTAGACAGTAGTAGAATGTTATGAGTTCACCCTAGTGATGTGTACCATGCCTATTTGAGCTTATAACTAAACAAGAAAAGTATCGCATTAATCTTTGACAGAAGATGTGAAAATGCTAAAGTTTTCTTACAGCCTATTAAATCCTCTTCAGCGAAAGTTGAAGTACTACTGAGAGCGCTATAATTAATATACTATTAATCATAGTGTCGGTGCAGGTGAAGAACGAAATTCTGAAGATCTACGTAGAACTTCTCATGATCCATGTAATAATGTTTCAGTAGTTGACCAGCCACAATGTGAGTCTTTTCGCCAAGAAGATATTCACTATGGATCAGACGAATACCAGCAACATACAGACACAAATGCGCTATATGATCAATAGATACAAAATTAAAAAAGAGAGGTATCAATCCATAAAACAGGATATTTTTCAGCTCGATTCCTTTAACAAAAGACAAATCTTATAATGCGCGCATTCGTCTATTAAAAAAATGGGGGAATTGTTGATTCCTCAGTCGTACATCAATCTCTTCGCGATGCACAGATTTCAAACGACGATGCAAATCTTGAATAACCGTCTGTGTATGTCGTAGTAGGGTGATATGTAAATAGTCTATTAATATCGCCTGAGGCAAAGGTATGTCGAGAAATTCAGTAAGAATACTTATGCCAAGATGACCACAGATATTTTGACCAGTTCTTTCTGCCTTGGCAGAGTCTGTTAAGTATGAACGGGTATCACGATGAATCACAATGTCTTCAAATGGATATTGTCTCTTGTTATATATATGAATACCATAAATTTTACAGAAGAAACAGCAACTATTTCCCACATGGCTGATGAAGTTCAAAATCAACTTTAATGCCGGGCAGTCACCAATAATTGAGAAAAACTTAAGATCATGACGTAAATGTGGACGAATTGGAATGCCTATTAATTAATGAGAAGCTATAACTAATGTAACCAAACCTGTCAACTAATCACCTATTTCTTTTAACCATTTGAGTTTTTGTAGACAGTTTTGAAGCCAAATACGTGGTTCTGGATCTTCAACCCCAATCCACAAAGATAAGACAGGTATATTATGCGGGTGTGGGGTGTGGGTGTGCGTGTGGGTGGGTAGGTGTGGATGTGGATGTGGGTGTGGATGAAGAGAGGAGCAAGATCTACATCCACACCCACATCCCTCTTCGACCGATACGTGGAAGGGTGGAGGGAGGCTCCAGTTTCTTGGTCACACTATTGGTTTGTTCATTATGATAATTAGTTTTAATAGGAAAAGATATTAATTCAGTTCATTTTTTACACACAACAAATTTTTCAGAAGGCTCACTTGAATCAGGCACTTTCTGATTTGCAATACGAGAAACCAGCCACAATTGCATATGATCCTTACAAAATTTTAAGACACATTCGACAGCTCCTTCAAACAAAATATCCGACCATGAACTACTCGGAACCGATTGGATTCCGACAACTGAATCCGATCGAGTCCGTTCGTCGGATTTCATCGGAATCAGATAGTCGGAATTTATCGGAAATTATAGGAATCAGTTGAGATCCGATTGGATTCCGACAATCGGAATTCGATCGGATTCAGTCATCGGAATTCAGCAGACTGAGACAGATCCGACAGAACCCGATGGCCTGATTTTGACCTGGGTGACTCTCTCTTCCTGCACGACAAACAGTCATAATCCAACAAACCACAATAGCTCCTTCTTTTTCAGGCAAAACTGAAGAGAAACCACGTCCATTCCTCTTACAACTCCATCAATATACCAATTCATCCTATGGATGGGACAAAGAAATGGTACTTCAAAATATAGGTCAATTTTTCAAAGGTACTCCTTTTGAGTGGTATACTCAAATCATCACTAGTCATAGTCCTGCTTTCCATTGGGATACATTTCAAACTCTTTTCTTACAACAATTTAGTTCACCGTTGCGACTTGCACAAATCGAGCAGGAGTGGAATAGATGCATTCAACGACCTGATGAATCAATCAACGAATTTCTTATCCGCTTACACAGTCTCTAGTCAGAACATAGACCGGACGAAACAGAACGTGATCTTGTTAGACATCTTTTTACTAAAATTCGACCTGAATTAGTTCCTCTAATCGGTGTTCTTAGCGATCCTACTCTTGAAAATTTTCTTGAACAAGCCCGAGAAGCTGAACTTATTGATTTTTCTCGAGGGTGTGGGTGTGGGTGTGGGTGTGGGTGTGGGTCTTAGTTATTAATCTACACTCACACCCACACCCTTTTGAAAGGCTTGACATCATCAAAAAGTAATAAAATAGGAACATTTGAGCATGAATTATTAATATCACAGAGTGGAAATCAAGACGAGTATCAATAAATGGAAGTGAATATATTTGACATTGTTTATTGTTATATGGGAAGCATTTTTTAATATTGAACAAATATGAAAATTAAATTGACACAAACGAGATCAATAAAATGATTAGATTTAGCACCTATTTTACCTATAGCCAGTAATAATGTTAAATTTTCGACAATTGATAAACGTTGTAGAACGAAAATATATGGCTCGTAGTTATCAAAATTACGATACATTGTCATTGTCATTTGTTTCAAATTAGGAAACGAAATCTAAATGAAGGAAATTCATTGAAATGTCAAATAGAAAATCTTACTTACTGATCTGATTTCAGAGATTAAATCAGCATTCTGTTCACAAACATATCCTAGGATCAATGTAAATGAATGGAGCTGTGAGCCCAATTAATTTAGTAAATGGACGCATTGATAAAAATCCCATAAAGATATGCGAAGATGAGTGAGTCGACTTACTTGATCGAAATACAATTCAACATTGTTACGTCGTATGGCTAAAATACAGTTCTCGTCTAGTTTGATTGATTGAATAAAACGCATAAGTGATGAACGATGCAAGAAAACTAATAGTTTTTCAGTAATACTGTAATTGGGCCGTAAAAGAAATTCAGGTATGATTTTGAAGAGGGGTTTGCTCAGTTCAGGGTAGGACATCTCGTGGTTTCCTAAAACAAATGGATACATGAGTGGCACAATACGAGATTTGCGTCAAGTCGGTGTGGGTGTGGATGTGGTTAGACTGTCTAACATAGACCAATACCGACATCCCCACCCCACACCCACACCCCCACCCCCACCCCCACACCCTCAACGCCTAGGCTCATTTCTGGTAGGTTTTTCAGCCATTAGGAAATAGACATGATGAAGAGAATGATCTTAGTATAAATAGATTTAAAAAACGAGTGTATTTTAAAACGAATTGTTGATTGCAGGATGAGAGGTGCATTAACATAATGTTTTTCAATCGAGAGAGAAAGCATTCAAAGAGAGTGATGGTGAGTACGAGTGTGAATATGTTGAGTAATTTGGTTTTTCGTCGGCGAACAATGACGATTGTAAATTCTGCTACGTGGTGATGACAACATGGTTGAGTAGTTCAATTTGTCAGCATGATGTGTTATTATTGTTGATTGGATGCATACTTCGTTAAACCTGTCGTATTGTTCAGTGTGAAAAGCAATAAAACCTTCCATAGCGGACACCTCTCGAAATCTTTATAGAAATAATTTTTATTTTATTTTACATAGACCATTACTACAACTGATCTTTTGAAGAACTCAATAGGAGACGATATGAAACAAGCGATCAATAATCTCTTACAGAGAAATAGTCAGCTGAAGAATACAAACTGATTGAAATCGCTAAACTTTCGTTCTTTTTTTCAACAATAAAAACAAGACAATTTAATAAACTAAATATTACCCATCAATAGAGAATTGGCCATGTAGAAATAGTTAGAAAGTATTGTAGTCCGTCTCAATCAGCAATCAATCTGAATATTGAAGGTTTTTAAGGATCTGCTTGTTTTCTTTTAAACATTCATTTTCTGCCTGAATAACTCAGAGAATAAATGATGTTTCTACTTATGAATCATAGTTGATGTAACGTCAACCTTAAGACATGCTTCTCTCTATTCATATGCTCGCATGTAAATGCTTCTTCGTGAAAGAAAGAAAAGGAACGAAAAAAAACATAGCCCTTCGATAGTTACTCCCTTCTCGCTTTGCTTTCATTTCTTTAGTAACAGAGAAAAATGTCTACTAATACCAGCAATAGTGGAGGGTAATCATAGCGTGAATCGTCATAGATTTTGATTTGACTGTTTTTAGACCAACTAATACGGATGATTCTGCTGCAGAAAGAGCCCATAAACCGATAACAACAACAACAAATACCTTTGCATCAAATATCGGTGCTGCTGGTAGTGATGGAGGTAATGCTAGTAGAGCATCACCAGCTTTAAGGGTGTGGATGTGGGTGTGGGT